CACACACACACACACACACACACACACACACACACACACACACACACACACACACACACACACACACACACACACACACACACACACACACCGAGCAAAGTGCCCGCCCGCCCAGCCGTGACGGGCGGGCGTCCTCAAGACGGCCGCATGACTCTCAGCTGCTGAGCAAACTGGACCACCAGGTCAGTGGAGGCCCTGTCGTTGACGGTCGGCTGCGCCCCCTCTTTCGAGGCCTCAGCGTCCGGCTCCCCTTGCTCATAGAGCTGTGGAGGCGGCGCGGGGTTGCGAGGGTGCGACGAGCAGGTACCGTTATTGACTGAAATCCATTCAAGCGCACACTTGCCCATGCGGCTGCCTGCAAGCACGGGCAAAGCGTAGACCGTGTAAACTCGCAATCCATACAACACGACACCTACAGCAACACAACCAAGCACTGTGCGCCCTTCGCACCCTCCCACCGTGTAGCTGTCGTAGTCCGGGTAGCTCTCGTGGGCAAACATCCACACCAGGCTGCCCACCAGGGTGCCACCCTGCTGCGCCTCCTCCGACGCGACCGCTAGCAGCTGGGGCCGGGAATGTGTGGGAGGCAGCAAACAAGGGAGGGTGGGGGGTTCAGGAGAGAACCAATAGGGAAGGGCGTATCACTCTGGCGGCATGGCGGGATTGTCAAGCGACTCGCGTTCAAGTACCGTTGGGGTGTGAGGATTGAGGAGCCCAGGCACAACAGACCAGCAGACCCACCCGTCTCAAAGCGCACTCCCGTGCCTGCACGCGCGTCAGCTGAACACGCAACGCGCAACCCGACCACTCACCTTCTCAAACAGCGCCTCGCGCCCGCTGCCCGCGGGCTTCTTCCCGAATTCCTGCAGGCACAGCGGCTTCCCTAACTGCTTGGCGGCCTGTATGTGGCCCTTCACCCAGTTCACAGCCCAGTCGACGCGCGCCTGGTCGCCGCAGTCTGTTGGGCACCACTATGGTGATGGGGGTGGAGGGGACAGCGATGCGAGGCGTGCGTGGGGAGGTGTGCAGCGGGCTCAGGGACCCAGACAAGAATTTGGGGCCCCGGGAAGGGACGCCATCCGCAAGGATGAGGTTGGACGACGTCATGTGCCGCAACCTATGCACGCACCGGTGCTGAGCTCTCACTTTGACACAGGCGTCGTTGCGTGCACACTCAGGCACCGCTGCGCCGCGCAGAGTTGGAGCGTAAGCGAGGGACGGCCTCTCACCTGGTCCGCATACAGGTGTATGCTGGCAAAGTCGATGCTGGGCGATGCGTTGTTTGCCACCCAGTCGACGCCGTGCGTCTGGTTGTACGGGTTGCACGCCGCGGCGAGGCCCGGCGTCGAGGGTCCGAAGAAGCCCTCGAGCCCGACGGTCACGGGGTGGTTTGGGTCCAGCGACTTGACGTGGGCGGCGGCGGCATCGATCCAGGACGTGAGGGCGGCGCAGGTGTCGTCGCCGTCGTTGCGGGGCTCGTTCACGAGGTCCCACGCAAATATGGTGGGGTCGTCCCTGCACGCCGGTGCCAACATGCCGCCCCCCACCCGTTGTGCGGCTTTGTGTGCGACGCATGAACCCTGTGGACTGACAGGTTTAGGCAGGGCAGCCCGCAGCAAGCAGCCGGCGGCCCTTGAATCCGTGACCACCTCTGTGCAACGCGCACGAGATCGCCGGCACCGCTCCCGCTCGCCTGTCCCCGGTTGCACGCCGCCGTGTCACCTCTCACCGGTAGGCCACCCCGGTGACAGTGTTGACGCGGGTCACCACGTCGGTGACGTACTGGCGGTACATGGCCTGGCACTGGGGGTCGCAGTAAAAGTCCTCCCCCCTCGCAGGTGACCCGGGGGGCAAGCCGCGCGACCACCTGGCTCGGGGGAGGGGGATGCGGGCGCGTATGGATTTTGTATGGTGAGCCTTGGGTCCACAGAAGGTGAGGGGCCGCGGGAGTGACGCTCCAGAGCCCCTAGTGTCCAGGACGAGGCCTATCCAAGGCCAGGGGCGATAAGGTCTCCTTGAGAGGGGGTCGCAACCGCCCTCTTCCCCAACAGCAGGGCTGCACCTGTTGCAATTCGGATGACTTGCTGCAGCCTGTGCTGGGTGCAGCCCCTCTTGCGCCCCCTCACCTGACGTACTGAGGGAAGCCCCCAAAGTCCTCCCAAAAGTTGCTGAGCGTGAGCATCAGCCGCAGCCCGCGCGCTGCGCACTGAGCAATGACCCAGTCCAAGCCCCTGAACACGTTTTCATCATACACGCCTGACGGCGGCCGGGCGGGGACAGCTGCATTGACGAACTGCCACCCCATCAGGCCCAGGGGCAGCATGCTGTGGGCTCCCAGGCCCCCGATCCTCGCAGCCATTGGGCGCGGCATGGACCTGCCGCGCCCATGTCCCCTGCGCGTGCCGTGCGAACGCGCGGACCCCCGTGCGCACCCGGCGCCGTCTGCAGTGCGTTCCAGCCGCCGCCGTCGTTGAAGGCCCACGTCCGGATCACAGAGAAGCCCAGGCGCTGGCACGCGTCCAGTGTCTCCAGCGCCATGTGCCGCGTCTGCCCCTCGCTCGCGCCGCGGGTCTACAAGCGCCGTGGGCCGCACGCACCACCGCGGCGGAATCGACTTGTTGCTGCCAACGCGGCGTTCGCCGTGTTGAGCGCGCTGGGACTCTGCACACGTGCTGAACTGCACTGCATGCAGCATCAATACCCTCACCATAGCCCGTTCCATTGTGCCCCCCCACCTCCCGCCCCCCCCCCCCGCACCATCAAGTAATAGCAGTTGACACCGCAGTAGTAGTCAGAGTCACTGACAGGCCCTGCAAGGGGCACCGCAGAGCTTTCCTTCGGCTGCTGATTGGCGCCATTGCTGGCCGCACCTGACGCAGCGCCTGGGGCCGCAGCGATTGCAGCATCACCCTGCGCCGACGGCAACTCTGAGCTGAAACACATACCCATTGATAAAACTATATTAGAAGATTGATTTGCGAAACTTGAAGGCTAGAGCGCGTGTGTTGGGCGCCTTGCACCGTTGCTCGGCCTGAGATCGGTCTTTCAACGGCCGCGCTGCTGAACGCGTGAAGGCACCACAAGGTCAGCAGAATGTAAGCCGGCGAATGGATCGCGCACTTTGGACGGGGGCAACACGAGCGGTCACTTGCTCTGGGCAGCCGGTGACCTCTGTCACCCTGACGTGCCCGCAAGTCCACCTGAGCGAGGCCGGCCGCCTACGGCCCTACCTTTGAGCCTGCCCGCGTTCCTCGGCTCCGGACTGGCTCAACGCCCTCAAAACCGACCCACATGCGTATGGCGTTTGTTACAAGAACGCGCCCCAGCGCTCGAGCAGCGCCAGCGTCCCGACCAGCTGCGGGAGCATGAGCAGCAGCGACGCCACCATGGCCGCTGTAATCGCGTGGGTCCCCGTCTCGTACTGCTTGCAGATCACAAATGCGGTCTGCGCCACCGGCAAGATGGACAGGATGACGAGGGCAACCGCCATGTCGCCGTGGAAGCCCGAGAGGCGCGCTATCAAGGCCATCAGGGCGGGGGCCAGGGTAGCGCGCAGCACGAGGAATGTCGTCAGCTGTGGGTGGAGGTAGAAATGCATAGAAATTGGAGAAAAGATAGGCTCAGGGGAGGATGCGTGATACGTGTGTGTGTGTATCGAGTATGGGGGGTGCGCGATGCACGCATGCACATGCTTGTGTATAAAACAACCCCGCCGCATGCTGCGGCAACAATCCTCCATACTATGTCCCAGCTCCTGGGGGCTGCCCCCCAGACCCACCTCTCTCTGCCCCGGCCCCTTGGCCGCCTCCTGCCCTTCCGCCCAGAGCCCGGTGCAGAAGAGCGTGACAGGCGCGGTGCAGCCCGCAAACCAGCGCAGCAGCGGCTCCACGAAGCCCAGCGCCCTCAGGTGGCGGGGGCTGGTGGGCTCCAGGATAACGGCGGAGCCCAGGCAGGACAGCAGCAGCGCAGCAGCAGTGCTCCAGACCATTGGGTTCTGTGTGTGTGGTTTTGCGTGTGTGTGTGTGTGTGTGTGTGTGTGTGTGTGTGTATGTGCGCGCGCGCGCATGTGTGTGGGTGCAGGCGCGAGTGCATGAGCGTGCACATGTGTGCGTGAGTGCAAGCATGCAAGCATGCAGTGAGTGCAGCCATCATGATGTTGTGTCCCCTGGGTACAAATTCACTAGGCAGCCAGGCGCATCGCAGGCAAACCTGTCGGCCCCTCCCTGCAATAATTCAAATGTTGTGTCACCAGACCTGCGCACCCGGGCCATCATCAGCAGAGCCCCTCCTCCACCTGGCGCCGCTGCCACCGCTGCAGCCGCCACTGGGCCCCTCTCCCCGCGATCCGCCGTGCCCGATTGTGGAGCTGCTGCTGCTACGGTTGCCGCTGCCAGCGCCGCTGCCGTTGCCGCTGTTGGCGCTGCTGCTGGTGCTGTCGAGGCTGCCGTGCTGCTATGGACGCCACCGCCGCCACTGCACACAACGATGTCATGCGGGCCCCTCCCTCGCGCCCCAGCTAAGGCCCCGCCGCCCCTGCGTCGTCCCGCGCCGCCCTCGGCCTCGGCGCCAGCTTTGACCGATGGCAGCAGCAACTCGTGCTCCTCTGACTTCTGTGCGCGCTGCGCCGCATCAAACAGCACTGCGGCCGAGGGCAGCTGCTGGAAGTACAGCACCACCTGGGAGAGGGTGGCGGACGCCAGGCGGTGCCAGCACAGGTGTTTCAGTGACGTCATACATTGAGACCTTGAAGCACACACCTCTCCCTGGGCACCACAAGCCGCTTTGCTTCGCTGTCACCCGTGGTCACTTTGAAGAATTCGCAGGTCGGCAAAGCGCGACGGCAGGCAGACACGTCGGCACGTGATTGCCAGACCGGCAAGCTCTGGCCAAAGAGCGGGCCGCGCCCGCTCACCGTGGCCAGCATGCCCAGTGGCGCGTACCGCGGCCCCAGTGCGGCCTCTAACACCACCGGCCCCAGGATGCCCGTGTTGTTGGTGGTCAGGACCAGCGACTCGACCGCCAGCCGCGCGCGGTCGATGCGGCGGCGGGCGGCGAGCTGGCCGGCGGCGCAGAGCAGCTGCAGGCCGAGCGACCACGATAGGAAGGCGCAGAGGACGCTGCGGGCGCGGGGTCGCCGCGGCGGCGGCGGCGCTGACTGGGCAATTCAAGACAGCGCCGGGCGGTGGGGGGGGCGGCAGCTGTGCCGTATCAAGGTTCAGGGGGCTCGCGCCCGCGTGCAGGGCAGCATACGAGGTGGTCAAAGCCACCAGTACTCACGCAGTGCATGGGCTGCGACCATCCCCAGCTGCTGTGGCCGGCCCCATACCTCCAGTTTTCCTTCCGCCGCATGTCCGTTTTCACCGCCAGCAGCCAGACCTGCAGCGCTGGGATGCACACCCGCAGCACGAATAGGTTGAGCTGCTGCACGGCGGGCTCCGAATCGAGCGCGCGCCACCGGGCGCATGCCCAGCCGGCGGCGAGCGCCAAGAGGCTCTGGACGCCAGTGAGCATGATGTTGACATAGTCAATCATTCTGCCTGTTTTTTTACGCTGTCATCATGTATGATCCATCGACCTTCCGCCCCTGCATTGGCAGCAGTCGAGCAGTGGAGGCAAAGCGCTGGCTCGCGCGAGGCGCACGCCGTCGCAGCCACCAGGACGGGGGCCCAGTCGCAGCGGTAATATATGTCGAATCGGTCAAATCAAGGTGTAATACATTCCACAGGAAGATATGAACAACATGCGCGAGGCAACCAGATCATGCCATTTTTTGCTGTAGCGACGGGCTGTGATTGTACTGGTGTTCGCAATCTCACTGCAACGTTGCCGCTTTTGCTCCCCTACCACCTTATGTGCTCGTGCTGTGAGCGGTCTGGTGACGTAGCTGGTGACGCAAGGCAGATGGTTGACCAGGCCTTTGGTGCTGCCACCCCAGTTTTTGCGTTTCAGGTGCCTCAATACCCTCATTGGTGTGTTATGAGATGCGCTTACAAACCAATCATGATGACCGCGCCGCTGCGAGCAGGCACCGCAGCAAAGAGGCGGGAAACAACGCGAGGCTGTGATCCTGTCACCACTGCCTTCCATGCAGGCGCGACTGCTGATCGCTCGTGCCGGCCGCGGTCGCAGGCCCCCCAAAGCCAGGGGGCAACCGCGGAGCCAGACCGCTGCCAACTGATGTACCGCCAAATCCAGGTGGCGGTGGCTTTGCCGCCGCCCCGGTCGGCAGGCTGCCGCCGCCCCAAAGCAGCTGCAGGCTCGGCGGCACCGTTGCCTGCAGCCCGCCGCCTGCACCCAGCGCCGGAGATGCACGGCCGCTGCCAGCGCCGAAATCTAGACCGGGCAGGCCGCTGTCAGTCCAAACCGGCTGCTGCATCGACGACCCCTGGCTCATCAGGCTGCCGCTGCTGTCCACGCTGCGCATGCTTCCCGCCGCCGGGTGCTGGGGCGTCGCAGCAGAGCTGCCGGCACCAGACGCGCCCCCGCCGCTGCCGCGTGCCAGAGTGACCAGCGGCTGCAGCGCGCCGCTGCTGCCGGCAACCCCGCCCAGCGCGATGAGCGGCTTGAGCATGGGGCCGCCAAAGCCAGGAGGCGGCGGCCGCCCCGAACCTGCGGCGGTCCCGCTGCCCGCTGTCGCTGGCCGGCTCCCCGCCCCCCCTGAGGTGGACGGGCGGCTGGCTGGGTGCTGCTGCGCTTGGCGTGCTGGCAGCTGCTGCTGCTGATTGTGCTGCGACGTGGACGCGCCAGGCGGCAGCCCGTTGCCCTGAGCGCTATGAGGCGGCTCGTCCGGCGCGTCCAGCCTGCGCAGGGCTGTCACGAGCTGAAGCGCTGCGTCGGCCGGCGTGATGCTGCCCGTCTGCACCGCGTGCCGCATGATGTCCAGCAACACCACCGCGTCCGGGTTGGGCAGCACCGGGCGCGGCGCGGAGACGGGCACGCGCACCGTCTTGCGGGCGCCGGCGACAACGGTTGTCACCTCGACGCTGCTGAACGAGGGGTGGGACCCCGCGGCAACCTTCGCCTCTGCAGCCTCGCGGTCGCGCCGCTCGCGTTCCCGCTCGCGCTCCTGCTGCTGGTCCCGCTCCTGCTGCTCCCGCCGCTCCTGCTCGCGCTCCTGCAACCGCTCCAGCTCCTGCTCCTGGTCCCGCTCCCGCTGCTCCCGCTGCTCCCGCTGCTCCCGCTGCTCCCGCTGCTCCCGCTGCTCCCGCTGCTCCCGCTGCTGCTGCTCTCGCTCCCGCTGCTCCTGCTCACGCTGCGCCTGAAGCTGCTGCTGCTCCTCCTCATAGCCCAGGGACGGCCACTCCTGCTCGTCCTGCGACTGCGAGGTGCTCGCCACTGACCACCCCCGCTGCTGCTGCGAGCTTGACGGACCGGCCTCGCTGCCGGCTGCGGGCGGCGCCACCACCTGCGGTTGCTTGGCAGCGGACGCCGCCTGCCGGGGCTGTGGGGCGCGGGCGGCACCGCCGCTGAAAGTGGCAGCCAGTGAGGGCCAGGCCACCTCGCTGGGAGGGGGCGCGGCAGGAGGCTGCTGCTGCAGGGGGCTGACTGACTGCTGCCGTGACGCCGTGCCAGGTGTGCCCCAGCTTCCAGCAGGGGGTTCCCCCGGCCGGGCCAGGCTGCTGGCCAAGGTCGTAATCGTGCCGTCTGCAGCCCGGCGCACGGGCACTGCCACTGGAGCATGCTGTGCCTGGAGCCGTGTCAAGCCCGTGCCGGGTGCGCCGCGGGCCGCATGCGCGTGGTGCTGCCCGTGCGCATGGTGCCCGTGCGCGTGATGCCCATGCGCGTGCGCCCTGTGCTCCGCAACGGCCTGCGCGGCTGCACGGGTGGCGGGTTGCTGCTGCTGCTGCTGCTGCTGCTGTTGCTGCTGTGCTTGCCGTTGCGCAGCAGCCGCGGCCGCTGCTGCTGCTGACTGCTGCTCACGCAGCTCCTGCTCCTGACGCTTTTTCACATGCGCCTTGACAGCGTCGCTGTCAGCCCCGTACGGCTGCCGGCAGCCAGGGCAGCAGGCTGTGTACTCATTGTTGATCCGCTGGTAGCAAAACAGGCAAACTTGGTACCTGCGGTGCACAGGTGCGAAACGCACAGCGCAAGAGCAACATGTCTTTTGGGAACAGCGCTTGCGAAACGTGCGTGTTGCCCCACGCAGATGCAAAATCACAGCAACCGCCACGTGGTCTGCTGCCGCCAGCGCCCGGCAGCTCATGGCCGATGCGGTCAACCCCTGCATGTTGACGCACCCGCACACACAAGGATAAAAATCCTTGTCCGTTTCATCGAGCTTCTCGATGCACAAGGGACAGTGGGGATTGTCCTGCGGACATGGGGCACATGCGTGGGCCAGCCCCATGAAGCGCAGCGATGCAGCAATGCCGCGTGCAGGACAACCCATGCCACTGCCTTGGCATGCTGGTCTATGACTGCAGCCTGTCAGCATATCACAAGAACACATGCCCTGCGCGTGATAGTATCACTTTGCCTCCCTCTAGCGTTGCCATCATGCGGGAAGCCGAGCTTAGTGGCCATCGGACCCAAGAAGGTCGACATACACCTTATGCTGCATGGTGAACATAAAATAGACAATTATTTTCGTGTTGAGGCAAGTTCAAGCCTCACCTGCTGCACGAACGCTGGTGCAGGCGCCGCGGGAGGGGCTGCATGCGTTTTGGTGTGCGCCTTGGCTGCTCCCCGTACCTGCAGGGCAATAACATGCATCGTTAGGCTGCTATGGTGGTGGTTCTGCGGCTTGCCGAGATCGACAAGCCATTCGCGCGCACCGCAGGCTGCTTGATGCTGTGCACGGCCTTTCTCATGGCTCATTTTGGGTGGCTATGCCGCTTGCTTGGCACGATCAAAAACATGTGCGGGTTGCTGCAAGCTCTCGCGCAAAGTGTAGTCGGCGGTGTGCGTGGGCAGCTGCTTGTTGCGCAACTGGCACTCCCCTCTGGTAGCGGGCACCGCATGGGGCACTGCAGTGGATGCTACATCGCAGTACACCAGCAACGACACATTGAGGTATGCGGAGTTGTCCGTAAGGCGACCGTGGGAGCATGAATCAAGCCTGGCACACGCCCCAGGCACGCGATGATGTTTGCACTAATAGTTTTTGGGGTGGAAGGAGCGGGGAAGGGGGCTGGAGGACCTCGATATGGGTATGCTGAGTGCTGCGAGGGTGATGTGCGGCTGCAGATGATTGAGAGACATCCTACTCCAACTTTTGGCCATGGGCACAAACACGTGGGCAGGTGCCAGCGGCCACCACTTGCTGGCGTACATCCAGTGCTGCCATTGCACAGAGTTTGGAAACAACAGGGGTGCTTTTACTCTTCAACAGGTTGTAGCTCACATGACATGAATGCACAGGGCTTGCTCGCAAGTACAAAACGGATGCCATGCAGCCAAGTGCATGCATCGTGTGTCAGCTCCGAAGCCTGATCATTCTGCGCTGTGCATGCGGTCAGCAACATCCCCCAACGGCCGCCTGTGGAGGCATGCCTGCACCACTTCGGCGGGCAAGGATGCTGTTCAAGAAGGCGCCACCTTATCAAGAGATATCGCACCCCTCAGTGGTCGCCCGGCCATGGCAGCGGCCTGCTGCGAAGCGCCTGCTGACCTGTCAACTCCGTTTGCGCCCGCACCCGCCGCGTGGGCCGCCACCACCTCTGCCCCGTCACCGTCCCACTCGTCGCTGTCGGCATCGAGGGTGTCACCCAGCGCGTCACCGCGGCGCCCAACCTTGTCTACGATGACGGGCACCAGCTCGGCGTTGTTGGGGCGGTAGGGCTCCCTCTGGACGGCGAGCAGCAGCGAGCGCGCAAAGCCGCTGTGCGTGATGATCACAACCACCTGCGGTGGCAGCAAACATTGGGATTGAGGCGGGCGCGGAGATGGCGTTGCAGGGCAAGGGATGGGGTGGGGGCACAGGGACTTGAAAGCCTTCGAAACTTGCGTGCGGCGGGGTAATGCTCCTGATTGCGACCGCGCAAGGCTGGCAGAGCCGCATCCCACCCCGGCGTATGAGCTGCCATAATTATTGCAGCCCCCTTGCCCCCACCTGCTCGGGGGTGTTGTCGAACAGGATGTCCAGGAACCGCTTCGCCCGCTTCACCTGCGGGGCGGCAGGAAACATGCATGTATGCTCGCCGTATGTCAAGCAGGGTCGACAATGAGACGGCCCAGTCATAGGCGTCCGCCATGCTTTTAAGTCGCAGGCGCGCGGCCGCCACCCGGCTTGGAGAAGCTTCCTGCCTGCGTGTGCGCACACCTGGTGGTGCTGCCTCTCCCGCTTGTTCTTGGTCCAGAGGTGGTCCTCATTCCCCAGCAGCCCAAAGCCGCGCCCCTCCTCGTCCTCTTCGTCGTACACCTGTCGAGGAGGGCAGTGACGCCGTTTGGGGTGTGTGGGGGGGGGGGTATGGG